CCTCCCCCTGCCCGCCCCCGCTGCAAGCTCCGGCCCCTTTGCCCGCACCTCCTCTCGCTTCAGGCGCCTCTTCCCAGGGACCAAAAAGTTAAGCTGCCCCCTTTCTCCCCCACCTGCCCCGGGCACCCTACGTGGGCTGCGCATTCCCCTTTTTAACCTGTTCCCCCTCTGGCTGATCCCAGCCCGTCCAGCCCCCCCTTTAAACCAGGTGGCAAAGCCGCTGCACCCTGCAACTCCTGAAACTTCTCTCCTTGCTGTGATTTATATTCTGTAACAAAAAGGATAACAAAAATATACTCGATCCTCCCGTGGATGACTTTTTTTTTTTTTTTTTTAAAATAATGCATTTCCTTCTTCCCCTTTAATTTTTTTTTTTTTTTTTGGCAAGGAAATTTGCTCCATCTCCAGCAGCAACCACTGCTCCTTTTGATGTTGTGGTACGCCGTGCGCATGCGCTTCACATTAGAATTACTGCACTGGCCAGAATAAGTTGGATCTCTTCTTCTCTTCACTGAAACCCTAAATCATATCAAAAGCTAAAGGGATGCTGAGAGTCCGGAAAAAGGGTTACTGTGGGATTTGGTCATTCCCTTTGATAATAGCCGTGGTGTGCGCGCAGAGGTAAGCGATGAAGTTATCTCTTTTGCTTTACTTTGAATCGCACTGCATGCTGCTGCCGAGAGGAACGTACGGCTTGGGTCTGAGAAATAAGAAATGACACGGTGTTGTTCTTTCTTTTTCTTCAGTGTCAATGACCCTAGTAACATGTCACTGGTAAAAGAGACGGTGGATAGACTGCTGAAGGGCTATGACATTCGCTTGAGGCCAGATTTTGGAGGTAATTTGACTGCTTTTGAATAGGAGGGATCACACGCCGGGGCTGCGTACCTTCGGTGTGCGTGGTTTTTAAACCTGGTGTGGGTGCTGTTGCTTTGGGGGGGGGCTGCCATTTTCTCAAGCTGATCCAAAGTTAAGCCCATTGTTACCCGATTTTCTTAGCACAGGATGCTCTTAATGCGATCACTTGGATCTCCTGCGTATTTGTAATCGGTCCCTCGTTTTGCATGTGTGCCGACCCTTTATTAACCTGTAATTAGACGCTTGTTTAACTGGTTTTCTCGAGATGCAAATCTCTGAAGTTTACCCAGCGTTTGTTCCTCGCAGCCTAATGTGCCTGTGATCACAGTTACTATTTTTGCGTACAAGATGTGCCGTGAGCTGATACAGAGATGTCGTTTAACCCCTGCGCGCTCCCGCCTCCGACCAGTTTGTGTCTTTCGGCCGCGGGGGCCCCTCGCCCCGCGCTCG